TAACTTCTTCAGGCAGATGGCTAGGCTTTCAGTTGTATATAGAAGATGAATTTGTGAATGAAATTTTTAATATTAGTAGGAATGCGATAAATAGATTTAAATGCAGTATTGCCATGAACAGTAGGCTCAATGTATACTAGGTGTGCTAATTAAAACAAGGACAGGAATAGGTCGTCTTTTTCACTGGCTTCGCCATGCAGTGGCTGGAAAAATTATCGATAAGGAACTCATTCACCAGTGGAATAGAGAAAGCCTTCATCATGCCAGTCAGTCGATGTGTCTTCTTTCTACAACGGCGAATTTAAGCATGAGGACATGCAGCAACCACACAATGTCGACCCCAGCCTCGAAGACTTATTCGACTGTCAAAGGAATGAGAAGATGGGATATGCAAATGCTAGTAATGTGTCAGTGGGGCAAACGAAATGGAAGTGGACTATCGAAATTGTTAACTGGGCAGTCAGTAATCAACAATCCTCTGGTCACCTGAACTACAAGGATGAACACACCGAGGGATATCAACAACAGCCACCACTGCTCTTATGTAATGACAATCAGTCTCATCCATCAAGAGCCAAGTCAGAATGCAGAGAAGGAGGTTACAGTTTTACAGTGAAGTTGTACGAACAGTGTATATCAGGAGAAGAAGGACGAAAATCAGAACAAGTGATTCTGTGAATAGTGCCATTTCAACGAATTCTTCATCAAGCTCTCCAAACCCATATGTATGTATGTATGTATGTATGGCTTTTAATGTTAATGTGAACTCTCACGAACATAATTGGCCATTCACTCTAAAGTGTAGTCAATGAAATGTGTGAATCTGGAGAGAGTGTAGGATGACTGTAAGATCAGTGAGCAATGAGCACATCGATCATCGAAGTGATAATTGTGATATGATAACATTGGAGAAATCATTTTGTGTCAAATAAATCCAGGTGGCAAGTGAGATAATACCGGAAGTTGCTCAGAGTAAAATTATTCATGATAGTGATAACAATAGACGAAATATGGGAAGGATATACAAACCGGATAGAGGAAGAAAGCGAAGAATTATTGGCGCCAGAGTGTGAATAGGTATTATCACACTTCGTTGAGAAGAGACTCGTCACTGACTCACTTTTCTCACAAGAAGCGAGAATTGTGTGGAGAACTGCTATCGGTACGGGACAAAACGCCAAATGGTGATATTGAAATCCCAATGGGTGATATGAGTACCGTCTGAACTGGGATTAAGCAACAATGGAGGCAGAGAATGCCTGACAGGTCAGCAAGATCTCGGGGAAATGAACGAGAGCACCACTGTTGAGTATAAGGAACTCACAGGGTGAAGTTTTGAGGCTGTAGAGTAGCTGGAGATAGCCAGAGTTCACAATTGAAATTCAGCACATTGTCGACTGAAGCTGAACATATAAACGGCAGTTTAGAGAGACCTCGGCTTCACATCAACAACGTCACAGGCCAATAAGTCCTGCTTTAGTGAACGAGTGAGTAAGATGTTGCTACATATGTTGACTCTGAATATTTGGCTGTAGTTCGAAACAAATGGATATAATGTGAAAATAATTGTGCGATATAGTTCACGCGGTCAGAAGACAAGGTTTCCGAAACGGATAATGCAAAACACAGGTATATTCCGCCTAGAGGGAGGAGAGAATCTCGTAATCAAGAAACGAACGAAGAAATGAACTCCGTAGAGCGCCTGTTCGACCACTCAGAAATCCAGTTGAACTAGAAAAGCTTGAAAAACCATCAGCCTACATCAGTCTGCATGCGATAGAATCAGGTCAGAAAATTGATTTTGACATTGAAATCATTATCCAGAAATACTCCAGAAATCACAAAGAATGTCTAATATCAGAAACACTTCATATCAAATGAAATTGAAATTATCTGAATAGGAATGATGGACTGAAAAGGAATTTCACCGAGCTGCAACACCTTACCCGATGAAAGTGTATATGATGCAAACATACGCTGCTTTTATAAGATATATATATATATATATACTTGTCGAATCCAACAACCTGCATGAGGATTTGTCATATTTACGCACCGGCCAACTTGACAACGACGACATAAAAGTTACCTCATGCAGAAGAATGACGATTAAGTTAGCTATAAACTTTGGACTGGGATTTCTCAAATTCCGGTTTAATGACTGTGCAAGTGAGAGTATCCGCCTCATGGAAACTTAATGATGAGTTTAATTTTTGAAATAGAGTTGTGAGTTTCCATGATGTTACTGGTTAACTTGGCAGTGGAATATTATCACAGTATCTTTGTTTCGGACAGTATTTATAGAGTGTTCAGAATTTTCGGAGGAGTCGATTGCATGATAACTTGCCTTCGTACAATATCCTCAAGTAAAATATTGATTGACGGTGTATTCTGTGACACAGTTGTCTTTGAGCTGAAGCACAATCAATGCCACTAAGCGATATCTGCGGTGTTTCCTTCAAGAGATCCAAGATACCTAGTTGAAATCCAATTGCAAGTTGTGCACTGGAAGGTAGTTAACCAGTCAGAATGTTATTCCCATAATTAAATACTCCGTAACAACATAATAATATTTAAAACGATTAGTCCCTTTGATAAATTTGAATAAGGCATTAAGAAGACGAATTTCGCGAGCTGATGTCATTTCGTAGTTTTCTTACAACCGCTTTACAACTAACATGGTTAACAATAATAAAATTAAGCTCATGGCAATTACTCAGTTAAATAAAAACAAAAGGACGTACTAATGACCAATCATATTTAGATAGGTTATGTAGTCCATGGTAGGCGAAGATTGAAGTCTATTGATTTTTGTACACACAGTTTAGGCTGTATGGGATTAATCCTCCAAAGTGCTTCCATCACCTATAGTCACCAACCTTGAATTAGATTAATGTGAAATAATTGTGAAACAGTCATAAATATTGATTGATTTTGTGACCTGACATTAATAAGTGTTTTGTAGTGGATGATGATGCTGGTTTTCTATTCAGGTTAATCGCGTTAGGATTTTCGATATGATTGAATAGCCATTTTGGAACATGTTCTTTTCGACGACAATGGAACATTTTGTTGGTTCTACGTATATAGGTGTCACCGCAGCTGGAGCAGGTGAACTTGTAGATACAGTTTGAAGTGGAGTCCACAGAATTTCGTCCTTTAATCATAGTTAGGTGCAGGGATCGAAAATTTTCGGCAAGTGAGAAAAAGAGATATGGTGGCGCAGAATGTGCATTTGATAGCTGCCCGAAGTCTTCGGCTACCATGGACTACATGACCTTTTAAACATGATTGGTCATTAGTACGTACTTTTGTTTTTATTTAACTGAGTAATTGCCATCAGCTTTATTTTATTATTGTTAACCATGTTAGTTGTAAAGCGGTTGTAAAGAGACTACGAAATAATAATATTTATTTGAACATGCTATTCCATTTCGTTTAATGCAGGCCGAAATCAAACGCTCAATGATTGGGTAGACAATATATCTATATATATTTACAGCAGTTTTATCACTTGAAAATACACCTAAGCTTCCGCATCCTGCCTCCTGTCGTTGAAATATGTGTAAACGTAGTTGGTTTGATTTGCTTTATAAACAAAATTTACAGTCAGAAATTCCTGATCATGTCATCAGAAGTTGACATTCATTAAGTACTCACTGTTTTACTGAAAGTGTAGGCTAACACACTCAACACTTTCCTCCTTAGATTCCTCTGTCAAACTCAATATTTGTCACTTCCCTTTTCATTACACCTTCATTCCTGTTCCCCTTTCTGATGGTAGAACTAAGGGGCAACAAACTACTGAAGTAATTGTGTACTTCGCGTTGACCAATATTATTACAAGCGGTGGAATCGAGGATGCGTGTTTCATTCTATCCGAGACATGAATGTCGGAAGAAGTCGAATGTCAACGAGTGACGGTCTTCGATGAGATATCTCTTCATGCTTCCTGACGAAGATTTCTCTCCAACAAATGACTCGTCAATGCTGAGTAAAACTGAAGGACAAGTTAAAGGAGATCAAAGACGTGATGCAAACGATAGTAAAGTTTTCGTCAATTATAATTGGAATAGTATGTATTCAGTGAAATATAGATGAAGCTTTATGCATTATTATCAACTTCCTCTGAGAGGAATGTATCATATGAATTCTAGAAGCCAAAGAAAGTTATCTGAGTAAACTTCAGTGAATAAAGCATGATAGTTGTAATGCGAGATATGACTGTCATAGCTGATTATATCGGGAGACCACACCTCACGCCGTGGATGACGCCAGCTTGTTAATCGCTTCAATAGCGACACTATAAAATACTGAAATGCAAAGGCGTCCATCGAGTAATGGATAGGATAAAACGTTCATCATATATTCCACTGCTAACCAACATCGAACAAACGACATCTATGAAATGAACTGTGCTCGAATGAAACAGCCTGTGATCAATTGTCATCATCATTCTGTGATACATAAACAACCCACCCATCAGTTTACCTCTACATATTTCGTTAGAACGAATCCATTTGTAGTTCATCTGCACTTGCTACTTTATCACAGACCACAAGCACGACAATTTTCACCATTGCATCGTGTAGAATGTTTATTTATTAAATAGTAAACTGTATGTGTCCATGTCAAAGCTGTTGAATGACGGATAATTCTACGCGTGCACAAAAAGCATCATGTGGAATCGAAATCTATTATCATCCATTTAATGAGCAGTAAGCTTACCTGTCAATAAGTACTCATCAAATAAATAATTCACGAAATCAGTAGATATAAATCCCGACTTGACCCACTTAATTTCATCACACATAGGCATATATACTCACGTTTCATGACGTTCGCAGGTATATAAACGTGAAACTATCATTACGCGACTGGCTTCATTTAGAAACGGAGAAAATGAACGGAGCTGTGGTAAATATATTCATCTGCTCTCTGGTATGTTCTGTAATTGTCTTGAAAGACATTTTATTCCATGTTTGTGTTTGCTACCGAAGATGACAGCAGTTCTCTTGTGTCATTTTAACGAATGCAAACCTACTGGAATTTCTATGAGCTGCAATCTCTCAAAAGAATTTGAAGTCTGTGTGAATCTAACAAAACGTGAGACCTTCAATCGTGAGTCCAATGTATTTTATCAAAGTTAGAGTGGTTCAAAATAACACTTTGAATATGTTGAATATGTTAGTGTAAGGAGTGATGACTGGAGATAAAAAAGGGGATATGGATCTCTGCAGGGGATCAAACCTGTAGCCAGTGGTTTGGTTTAGCAGAGGATCGCTATGACCGCTGAGATATGAAACACAGCTGCTATGTAGGTTATCATTATAGATGGTAAAAAAAAAAAAAAAAAAAAAAAAAAAAAAAAAAAAAAAAAAAAAAAAAAAAAAAAAAAAAAAAAAAAAAAAAAAAAAAAAAAAAAAAAAAAAAAAAAAAAAAAAAAAAAAAAAAAAAAAAAAAAAAAAAAAAAAAAAAAAAAAAAAAAAAAAAAAAAAAAAAAAAAAAAAAAAAAAAAAAAAAAAAAAAAAAAAAAAAAAAAAAAAAAAAAAAAAAAAAAAAAAAAAAAAAAAAAAAAAAAAAAAAAAAAAAAAAAAAAAAAAAAAAAAAAAAAAAAAAAAAAAAAAAAAAAAAAAAAAAAAAAAAAAAAAAAAAAAAAAACTCGCCTAAATGTCATCTAACGAATTCTCCAATTCTCATCTTACATACAGCTTCGATAAGTTATATGTCGATTTCTCTACTTGACTTCTACTTCACACGGTGTACTCTTATCATCGGTCAAAGGTAAGTCCAGTTTATTACTATCATCATCAACACACCAGAAATTTGAAAGTAATTTTTAATCGGTAATTTTAACCGGTTCGTACCAAACAAACCTTGATACTGTAACAACACAGACTGATATCATCTCCCTCCAAACATCTATTTATACGAATTAAACAACACGACTTCGTCTCCCAGTGTTGCCATGCATAACTTTAAAGTGATAATTTTACTTCGTGAGGTGATGATTTGAGTAATATACATTTTAAATCAGTTAGAATTGTTCCCCTCTCTTATTCTTTCTGCAGGTAGTGCCGAATTGGATGTGTCCTCTCTCAGATATGCCGTTGACTTAGACACTCAAGTATTTACTGCAGTGTGCTTAAGTTACAACAACTGCGCAGTGAGAATTTTATTGAATTGCATTGGTCACGTACTTCAACCCGAATGGCAACACTGTCTCGATGATAAGACAAAACAACAAGCCATGGCTGCGTACAAATATTTGGATAGCATACGACACACACCGGAGAAATTTGATCTGGAAACATTTCAGAATATGTTTCCACTCAAATAGGACGGCATCATCCACCGTTAAGGTCTTCATATATCTTCAATGCATCTCTCTCAATATCTTTCATTCACACACATTTACGTAGAATGTGTTGACACAATAATGTGAGTGTACAACTTGACCTATTGCCTTGACAAACTACTGATTTCCGTATCTACACAAGTGATTGGATGATGTGGAAATGAGTCATATTTAGTATTTTCAGCTAACTGTGTTGTTATGTTGTTGATGGTTCTGACAATTAAAAAATACTTGACCTTCTGTGTATGCTGCATCTTCTACACTTAGTTCTTTTCCTTATCACTTATTGCTCTCTCATGTGTATTCCACTTCACTTTCTGTAAATTGAAATATAGATAATGCCATGATATCGTCTTCTATCCAGTTGGCTATCATCTCATAGTAATACGTGTTGTCATCGCTACCAGTGCATTAGTTATGATAGCAATATCATTCAATTCACAAGTATTTATTATTGTTTGACATACACTCAAAACGTCTAATGTGTGAAACAGAAATGACCGTGACATCCTTGAAAGACTAACTCAAACTATACGTATATTTACTATCACACATATGCTCATCGAGAGTGCGATTTCAGATCACGTTTGATTAGATAACCTCATTTGAATGAAGACGATATTATGTTAACTTCTTCACGTGTGAATATCTGTCTCTTCATGCACCAGAGCTATGCAGTTCTAGTTTAGGAATATATGATCGGTGGACGATGAACAACACGGCTGATCATTTCTTCACACTGATATCATCTTCAAGTGTGTTCACTAGATTACGTGAGACAAAAAATGTACACCAATATACATTCCATTATTGATCAAATGTATTGTGAGGAAGTCTCACAGTGTTATATAGTAATATTTACTAGTGACGTTTCGAGGGCGATTTATCGCTTATAATCATTTCACATTTGACACCATTCGCATGATCGTATATATACTCTTGATTGATAGGAGTACTCAGATTCCTTCATTGACGACCAGCACCGTTTGCGTCAGTGCGATTTATTTAAAGTTATGGTGGTCAATTCGCCATTACCTAGCTTTAACACCAAGTGAAGTGGCTTTAACAATGATATGACATAAGAAATCACACACTAATTACAAATCGACTCTCCCGACACCTACTAATGAAACACATAGGAGACATAAGCCTGATAAATAAAGAAGTGCTGGCGTGCATATCACGCACGCCTCATTTGTGAAGACCACTAACTGACCAATACGCACAAGAGAGTCTTAATACTCGGTGAAGTGAATACCCAACCTTCAAACCACGTCTCTCATTGGAAGTATTGACATTCAATCCAAGTCGACATTTCGATGCAACACTCTAAGACTCACCAATCGCAGATATGTCAAACAGACATTACTGAGGTGAACAAATCCAATGAATCGATTTGGTAGACACAGCTCAATCAAGATAAAACTGTTGGAATCTGACTTACAGAATAAATGACATACAATGATCAGATGAATGAAGGATTGGGAGTGACAATGAAACTTTATGAAAATAAAACTGTCGGATGGATTTCTGTCGGTCGATGACCACCTGAATAATTGGAAGTTGCAGTGACCTGCCTATGTGTAATTCTTCGTCAATTCAGTCTGCTGAAGATTTAGGAAAATTCTTTCAAATATCCTCATTTACACATAGGATATAAAAGGACAGTGACACAGGTGAAGAATAATGCCATTATATATTTTCCAATCTCAATGATCATAGTTGAAAACAATGACAAGAATCCACATGTGAAGTAAAAACTATTACAGCGAATAGACCCCTACAGAGACAGTGAACTCACAAATTAGGAATCGTAAGCTTTAGTCTATTTAATCATCAGTTTTACCCTGGTTGTATCGAAATAGTCAAATTGAGCGATTGAACAATTGAAGGCTGATCGTCTCTCAGTTGTTTTCGAAAACCGGAATCCGTCTATGATTCGTGTGACTGACAGAATTGCACAGAAAGCATTCGAACATTACTGAATCGAATTACACTGTCTAGTTTCAATGAATACGAACAACATGATCACTGGACGCATTGTACGAACGCATTTCAAGCAGTCGATGCAGAACAACAAACACATCGAAATGACGACATACACTATCAAGCCAACAAGCACACAGATATCAAGTGAAAATTATAGACTGACACATAGTGAACAATAAGTCACAGATTAGTGCATAAAATTAAGTAATAATGGATTATGTTCAGTGAAAGGGTAGACAAATTTTAACAAACTTCACTGACTCAATTTCAGTGTGGACAATCAGACATCGTGCACATGAAATCTGTCGAAATATGTCATGCATACTATCCAACGAAGTATGCGTCATCATATGGCGTAATTTGTCAGCCGGTGACGATCATGTCACACTGTCAGCAAAATCCACTATGATAACAATCGGAATGAGAAGTGCACCAGCTGGTTCCGTGAATTGTCGTGATGCTACTGATTACCATGACAGTAGGCTGACTGTCAATTTGAAGGAGAATTGAAGTGACTTTCACTCACACTTTGATTTCGTCTCGTCTGTGTTTAATATGTGTGTGTTCTCGTCGAAAGTCTAATCTAGTAAATTTTGAGTAGACTCCTTGATATGAGATTAGAACGTGTGCACTGTGGTACAGCATTATTCCATCGTAGATAAATTGTATTTTGATTAAGTTTCACACTGTTAAACATTAAGATTTACGGATGACGTTTCGGGCACAATTCATCGAAATACCTAGCTCTAATATGATGTCCCATTAGAAGTCGTTCAAATGCTAGGCTAACTAATGCGTATGAAATCAGACGGAAACTAAGTTACATTCAATTATGGAAAATGGTTAGTTTTGATGTAACTACTCTTTGCACCAATATAAAAATCAAATTGAATTTAGAAGCAGTCGGTAGGGAACTAGCTGCTGATCTCCAACCTACTCGAAGGATAGAGCTGTGCATTGAGGAAATTGTTTCAGAAATTCAGCTATGCTACATCACTTCTACAATCTTCAGATTCTAAGTCAAAATAATATAAACAGACATATTTCTTTATGGACAACTGGGAAAATATCCCTCTTGATACATATAATCCTGCACTAAATATATGGCTGGAATATGTGGCTGACACTTTCACAGTGTTAAGACACAGAACGGGTCTCTAGCTTCACCACACATATAAATTCACTAGTAAATGGAATAAAATTCACATTGGAATGGGAAAATGAACAAGGACAATTGGCTATAGTAGATTCGAAAATGAAACGGACGGAAGAAGGTCAACTGCACACTGGCGTTAATAAATAACCAACGCATTCTAATAGATATTTCGACTTCGTTTCATCTCATACGATATCTGTGTAGGCAGTTTTAGTTGAGAGTCTAAGAAACCGAGCGACGACATCCCTAATTAGAACAACAATGAAACCTATATGATGAATTGAAACTAAAAGAAGAATAGCTGGTTGGTACCAAATAACCATCGTATAAAATTCATTAGGAAGACCAGAAAGGCCAAAAGCAAAATAAAAATAACCGGGAGAATATAAAGCTTCTACTGTTATACCATATAAGGAGGGGACATCTGAAACCCTACGTGAGATTCTTAAAGAAGCAGTAGTTAGAGTGGCATTTAAACTTGCAAACTCACTACGGTAGGATAAGCTCTGTAGCTTAATGGACACTGTCAGTTGATTCAATTAGACAAAACAATATAATTTGCAAAATACCGTGCAAAGACTGTGAGTTAGTTCACCTATATAGATCAATCAAAATGGT